TAGAAAGGGGAAGGGGCTATGATATAGTATAATCATAAAACATTGCATCAGAATCTGACTGAACAGATGGCTTGTAGAAAGGGGAAGGGGCTATGATATAGTATAATCATAAAACATTGCATCAGAATCTGACTGAACAGATGGCTTGTGGAAAGGGCAAGGGGCTATGATATAGTATAATCATAAAACATTGCATCAGAATCTGACTGAACAGATGGCTTGTAGAAAGGGGAAGGGGTTATGATATAGTATAATCATAAAAACATATGACTTGGGGGGGGGGTAATGGGCTATGTGGTTCAGAAGCCCAATCACTTATCACTTCAGTGATACTCTAAATACAACCAAAAGTAGCAGCCTCTGAGCGGAACTGGTCACTATTCAGCAACTCTCATTTCAGGGTGCGCAATTAATTCACAAATGAAGAGGTGGAAAAATCATTAGCATCCCAGTCAAATCTCGAGTTGCTTGAGCACAGTACAGATGTCTCCACTCAGCTTGAAGTTGACTCCGAGATTGAGGAAGTGATAGTTGAAAGGTCATCTGAATCTGATGGTGATACAGGGCTAGACAGGTTGGGACTCAGTGACTGAGAAACAAACAGGGAACAAACTAAAGACAGAAAGAAATATAATCAGCAGAAAGTATAATAATACTAAAAAAAAATAACTGAATCTCTGATAACATTGTTAAATAAATCTAATGCTAACTATTTTCTATGTGCAGAGTGATTGTTGTATAGGTTATTGTATCAGTAGAAAGTATAATAATACTAAAAAAAATAACTGAATCTCTGATAACATTGTTAAATAAATCTAATGCTAACTATTTTCTATGTGCAGAGTGATTGTTGTATTCGTTATTGTTGCCAATCGCTGTTGAGACCAAAACCTCATATTTTACTGACCAGTACCTTGTCCAGGGGCAGATTATGGGTCAGACGGGCTTGGGGCTAAATTTTTTTACCAGGCCTATTATGATTGCGAATAAAGACTAAGGTAGACAAAAAAAACTAAACCTCATAATGGGCCTTTTTGGAACCCGGGCCTGGGCCTACAGCCCCAATAGCCCTGACCATGTCTGGTTGTGATAAACGTCAAGTGGGACATTGTTTCCATTTGACTTATATATTCATGTGTTTTTAAGCAAAACTGAGTTGATCTTCTAAAGTTAAAAGGAACAAAAAAAATTCAAATCATTTCTAACCAATGTTATGAGTTAGGCCTTAGAGGAACACTAAAATCATTTTAACCAGTATTATGGCTTATACATTAGAGCAACGTTTAAATCATTTCTAACCAGTATTATGGCTTAGATCTTAGAGCAACGTTTAAATAATTTCTAACCAGTGTTATGGCGTAGATCTTAGAGCAACGTGTAAATCACTTTAACCAGTATTATGGCTTAGATCTTAGAGCAACGTTTAAATAATTTCTAACCAGTAGTTATGGCGATAGATCTTAGAGCAACGTTTAAATAATTTCTAACCAGTGTTATGGCGTAGATCTTAGAGCAATGTTTAAATAATTTCTAACCAGTGTTATGGCTTAGACCACAGAGCAACGTTTCTCAACCACTTCAATACCAGGAACCGGCTTGCTGCCTCCCAACAGCAAAAAACCATTACGATTTGTATATGAATATTTTTTTGATTATTTTCGTGAAATCCCACGGACAGTCAAGATGATTGTGACAGACTGGTGGTTGAAAAAAACACTGGTTTAGAGCATGGCATATTACTTACTAGCATACTAGTCTTTCATGCTCGCCATATGCAGTGTCTTACGGTATTAAGCACGTTAAGTAAATTAAGTTGTGGTTAAGTTCTATAATGAAGATAATAAATGTGTTCAGATAATTTTAAACCAATGTTCGAGACTGTTTAGAGCATGTTTCTACTTTCTTCGGAAACAACTGAGTAACCCTGATCCCGGATCACTCAAAATTTTCAACCCTACTTTCTTGACCACGTGCTTATACCAAAAAGTTCACACACCTAGAAAAATGTTGAACAATTCCACATTACAATAAGAAGGTATGAAATGCATGCTACGTCTGTAAAGTGTACAGAACATTGGAGTTGCGTATTCTAGAACTAATGTTCGTGAATGTGATACATTTATTTGTAGAAGATCATGTTCACAGTTGTAAATATATCTTTGAGTTATAGTATATATATATATATCTTAAGTTGACAACTCCCTCTCTCTATATGTATATATATATATATAGATATGTGTGTGTGTGTGTGTGTGTGTGTAC